GGGGGTAAGGTGGCCCCGGGGATGGGCTAAGCCGTCCCCGGATGGCTCCAGCGACCCCGGGGATGGGTCAAGTGGCCCCGGAATGGCTCAAACAACCCTGAAGATGGGACAAAGTGGCCCTGGGATGGCTTACATGGCCCTGGGGACAGGCTAAGTGCCCTTGGGGACAGCTTAAATGGCCCTGGGATGGGTCATGGTGGCCCCAGGATGGCTTAGCTGGCCCCGGAGATGGCTCAAATGGCCCCAGGGATGGGTTAAACGTCCCCAAGGATGGGTGAAAGTGGCCCTGGGATGGCTCAAACTGCTCTGTGACAGGTCAGGTGGCCCCGGGGATGGCTTAAGTGGCCCCTGGGATAGGTCAAAGTGGCCCCAGGATGGCTTAAATGGCCCTGGGGATGTGCTAAGCTGCCCCAGGAGGTCTCAAGTGACCTGGGGATAGCTCAAAAGGTGCTGGGGACAGGCTAAATGGTACCCAGGATGGGCTAAGTGGCCCTGGGGACAGCTTAAATGGCCGTGGGATGGGTCAAAGCGATCCCAGCATGGCTTAGATGGCCCCGGGGATGGGTGAAGTTGTCCCAGGATGGCTCAAGTGGGCCTGGGGATGGGCTGAGCCATCCCAGGATGGCTCAAGTGACCCTTAGGGACGGATCAAGTGGCTCCAGGGAGAGGCTAAGTCACCCTGAGAAGGCTCAAGTGGGCCCAGGAATGGGCTACATGGCCCCAGAATGGCTCAAAGTGACCCCAGGGATGAGTCAAGGTGGCCCTGCGATGGCTTAAACGGCCCCGAGGATGGGCTAAGCCATCCCAGGATGGCTCAAACAGCTCTGGGAACGGGTCAGGTGACCCTGGAATGGGCCAAAGTGGCTCCAGGATGGCTTAGATGGCCTCAGGGATGGACTATGCCATGCCAGGAGGGCTCAGCTGTCCCCGGGGATGGGCCAAGTGGCCACGAGGATGGCTCAAGTGGCCCCAGGATGCCAACGCTTGACCTGTCTCACCTTGATCTCGATCTGCTCCTCCATCTCTTTGTTCTTGATGGCGGCGTACTCCTTCTCCAGTCTGCTCGGGACACGGGGACAGGCTGGGACACGAGGACGGGGACCAGACCCCCTTGGCCCTGTGCCCCACGGCTGTCGGGGGGACCCCACCCAAGCGCAGGAAACCGTCTCACCTCTTCATCTTCTTGGGGTTGTACTTGACCTGGAAGGCCCTGAGGATGAGCTTGTCGGGGCAACTGTCGAACTGGTGTGGGATCACCTTCTGGAAGTACTGTGGGTGCGGAAATCGGCCATGAAACATGGTCCCAAAATACAGGCCATCACGTAAACCAGCCCCAAAGTAGGGCCCGTTGGATAAATCTGCCCCAAAACACGCCCTCGTTGCACAAATCCACCCCAAAATACAACTTGTCGCATAAACCAGCCCCAAAATATGGCCCATTGTGTAAACCTGAAAAACAGCCCGTTGCATAAAGCCATCACAAAATATGGCCTGTTGCATAAACTGGCCCCAAAACACGTCCCGTTGACTAAATCTGTCCCAAAATATGGCCCATTGGACAAATCAACCCCCAAATATGTCCTGTTGCCTAAATTTGCCCCAAAACATGACCCGTTGGACAAATCTGCCCCAAAACGTGTCCTGTTGGACAAATCCACACCAAAACATGTCCCGTTGGACAAATCCACCCTGAAACACATCCCACGGGCTAAATCCACCCCAAAAGCCACCGGCACGTACCTGGGACATGCCCTCCATGTCGAGCTGAACGAGCTCAGCCTGGTTGAACTGCAGCAGTGCCATCCCCACGCGGAAGACGATCTCCAGCCCCTAACAGGAAGGGTCCACGCTTGACCCCACGCCATCGCCTTTCCCACCCGGAGTTTGGGTTTTTTTTTTTCCCCCAAAACCAGACCAGCTGGCGTGGGGAAGAACGTTTCCAAGTGGAAAACGTGGTTGTGGTGCCTTTGTGATTTATGGTGTTGGCCGCGGCCCCGTTACCTCGTACATGAAGATGTCGAAGACGCGCGTGGCCACGGGAAGGGGGAAGGTGGTGAGGAAGAGGGTGAGGAACCAGGACGAGGCATACATGGAGGTGAGGAAGCTCTGCGAGCGGAAGTGGATGTTCAGCTCTGGCAGCTGCTCCTGGATGTAAGAAATGGAAGAAATGAAGAGAAATGGGGAATGGTGGATGTTTTTAGGGGTCATTCATGGCTGCCGAGGTTTGAACAGGTCCACGAGGTCTTGTGGAGGTCCCTGAGGGGTCTCATGGAAGGTCCTCTGGGGGAGGGCTTGTGGATGATCCCCAGGGTCTCATGGATGTCCCTCAGGGCATCTCGTGGATGGTCGCTGGGGTGTTTCATGGATGGTCCCTTTGGGGGTCTCACAGATGGTCCCCAGGGTCTCAAGGATGGTGCCTGGGGCATCTCATGGAGGTGCCCTGGGGTCTCATGGATGTCCCCAGGGTGTCTCGTGGATGTCCTTGGGGTCTCACTGATGTCCCCCTTGAGAAATCATGGATGGTCCTCAGAGCATCTCATAGATGTCCCCAGGATCTGTGTTGCTGGACACGAGCTCTGTTGGAGGAACCCATTTCTCCCAAGAGCTGCCACCTCACTCCTGCCTCTCCCTGTCCTTGTCCCCTGGCTCTACCCGCTGGTTCCCACCACCCCGAGCATTTTGGGGGGCGTGGGGCAGCACTTACCTGCAGCATGTACTCGAACTGGTAGATGCAGAGCCCCAGCTCGGCCATGCTGGGTTTGAAGAGCTCCCGTAAGCGGTATTCCTGCATCAGCCTCACGAACACACAGAAGGCCTCTTCCTCGGGCATCTGGAGACCCAAAGGGACATGAATTCCCCCTTAAACCTCTGCCGGCAGCTCCGGACACAAAGCCTCTTCCCATCAGGTGACGGGATGGGATGGGACGTGCCAGGAGCCGTCCCTGGGTGAAGGGGAACGCGAACGGGGGATTTTAAACCTATCAGGAGTAAGTGGGATGGTGGGAATGAGCCCATTTTGTTCCCGAGGATCAAGAAAAAGGCTCCTATTCCCCAACCCCATTCTACCACGTCTCCGGAGGGTGTAAAAAACCCATTGGCAGCTTCTCCTCGCCCCGGGGCTGGCACAAACCTGCATGAGCAGCAGTCCCACGATGAAGGCGCTACCCTGGCAGTATCCGACCTCCCGGTCCACCAGCGAATAGGCCTGGAAGGAGGAAAAAAAATCAAAATAAATGTATGTGTGAGCAGGGGGATTGGCCAGGCCACCATCCCCTGCTTGCTGTGAGAGGGCAACGGGGAGGGAGGCCTTGACCACGGAAAATAGCTTTTTTTTGGTTGACAACACCTCCTGTGAACACGATGTTGCCGCAAACTCGAATTTAGACCTCCAAAGACTCAACTCTCTATTTCTTAATTCAACAGGAAAAATGAGGTCTGGGACGGATGGGGAATGAAGTCCCTTTGCGAGGAAAGGGCTGTCACGCTGCAAGAAGTGATGGTTCTAGGAGTTTGTGATGGAAACCAAACCCCTCAAAAATTAAGATCCAGTTAAAACAGCTTCAAAACCCAAAGCGGTGTCCGGGCTGTGGCCAAGATCCGTTGACGTTCGAGGAAAGACGTTACCTTCATGACGTTGAAGAGCACCTCCTGGCCCAGGCTGTCCTGTCCCTTGAAGAACTCGTGCTCCGGGTAAGTGCGGGCGATATCCCGTCGGATGAGCTTCTCGCAGGGAGAGGACATCTTGAGCAGCTCCGAGTATTGGTTTTTGACAGGCATGTCGGTGGCACTGCAGAGCAGCTGCCAGACGATGGCACGGAAGTGGTGGGGGATCCCTTTGCGGATGAGCTCCTGCGGAAAAACGGGGCAAAAACCTGAGAAAATGGGTTTCAAGAAGATGGGGAAGCTCCTCGTGGATGGGGAGACATCATCCTGTCCCGGCACGGGGAAGATCAGGCTGCAGATTTTTGCAGTGGGGTTAAAATATAATTAAAAATAGAGCAGTTTCCTCACCTTCAGCAGCTTCTCCTTCTTCTTCCGCCACTCGTCCCACTCGTTGACGATGCGGCCCCAGAGGATCCAGGTGTCCTCCTCGAGGTGGCTGAGGTTGGAGGAGGCCGAAGAGCTGGAGACCAAGGATGAGCCGCTGTTCCTTCGTGAGCCGTTCATGGAGCGCATCGACTTGGAGTCGGCCTCCAGTAGCCTGCGAGAGACCGAGATAGCCCCAAAAAAGCCCCAAAGGAGGAGAGAGCCCCCAAAACCGCCTGAAAAGAGGAGATATTCCCCCAAAACAGCCCCCAAGGAGAAGAGATTCCTCCAAAACCATCCCGAAGAAGGAGATAACGCCCCCAAAACAGCCTCCAAGGAGAAGAGATTCCCCCCAAATTGTCCCAAAAAAGGAGACACTCCCCCAAAACAGCCCCGAAGGAGGACAGACTCCCCCAAAACTGTGCTAAATAGAGG